TTGATGAACTTCTTTAAAAATCTTACTATCCTTATTCTTATATCATGAAGTGAATTGTGTAGTACTTTGTATACATGTAAATGGTAATAAAACCGTCACAACTCATATTGGAGTTTGATTCTAAACAACGTTTTGCAAAATTTCAATATTGTGAATTTGTAGATACCCATTTATCGTAAGAAACAGAATTTTATGACTTGCACTTGAAAAATAATGAATACTCCAGTTTTGATTTTGACAATAACACCATACAAATTGCAATTTGCTGGAGGCTTTTTCGCAGATTTCATTTTTAATTTAAATACTATCACATACTATAAGAAATAAACAAATTTAAAGCTAAAAAGTAACAAAAAACTCTAATTGTAATTGATACAAATTAAAATGTAAACAATGAACAGGAACGCCAATGTTGCCAAATGATTAACTGATTTTGTCTCTGACTGATTTTAAAACTAAAATTAATAAATGAACTGATATTTAAAAAAAAAATCAATATAATAAATCGATTTTATAAAAAAATCCTTAAATAAATAGTATGATTACATATTACTAGACACAAATTTTGATTCTTAAATAAAAGGTCTTATCCAATTCTTCAAAAACTAAAATCCGACGACGTAACGAAATTTTGCTGCTTCTGGCAACACTGAACGTCATCCTACTTATAGGGACCTTTCACTAATTTCCTCCAGAGGGCGTATCACTTAGCTTGAATCGCGAATTGCCGCGTTTGAGAATCCACATCGGATGCATTTTTTACATCTCGAGCGTTTTTTTATCCACATCGGACACATCTACTACATCTACATCTGCGTTTGTTTATCCCAGATGTACCTGCTCAGATTACATTTTTTACATCTCGATTTGGAATGAGATGTTCGTTCCATGCCAGAAAGTAAGTGTTCTGTGAAGCCTTGTTTGTCAATTTATCCTTTGTTTATGCTAGCATGAATATAAAAGTGATTAGTTTGTTTAATTTTTGTTTATATTTCAAATTTAGGTTGATTTGTAGTTTCAAAAGTCAAATTTAATAAGTATAAACTTCTAACATGTCATTGACATTTTATCACGTGACCAAATAAAGTCTAGAGCGTTTGTTTATTACATCTACATTCAAATCTAATTCTCTATCACGTGATAAAAAATTCGCAACATCTCAGATGCATCCGATGTGGATTCTCAAACGCGGCATATGGACTGTAAAAAAATAATTTTAATCAAATAGAAAATAGTTATAACAGAAACAAACAAGAAATATTACGTGTAAAATTGATTAATCACCGATCAGAAAATTGACATTTTTGACACATTCCTACAGATACCCGCTGATCTCCATCGACCAACTCGGGGAAGAGTTGGAAAGAGTGAGCGCGCTCTGTGGCAAGCCGAACACAAAAGAGTACGCTCTGAGTGCCAAGGCGACCACAATCGAGGCATACCGAGTGCACTCTGAGTACTGCGAACGCCAAACCGAACTCAGCCTTAATTTGCCGTGCCGTGGTTTTTATATGCCGGGAAGAATGTGTGCTAATTACTTCGTGTAATTACATCCAGTTTAATTTAAAAAAAGAAAAGTACAAATAATAATACTAATTTTACTCCTTTCCAAAGGGCAATGATTTGGTATCTTTTATTATTCAAAAGAAATGTAGATAATCATTGTCAAGGAGGCAGATAAATTTAATGTGAATATATCTAGAATTTGTTCTAGGTACTTATTTTATTCCAAAAGATTATAAAAGAGACTTAAAAAAATTATACCCGATTAATTTTTTAGTGCCCCAAAAAGTTTTATAAATGGGAAAAAGTTTACCTACATTCAACAAAAAAATTATTCTCGAGAAAAAGATTTGCATCACTTGTAAATCCATAATCTAGCATCAGATTTGTAAAATTAAAAAAAATCCAATTAAAAAGATGTGTGCAATGATTTTAACTTGACCATTATTTTTAATTCCTATCATAATCAATTCATATTTTATATTGAAATTAAAATTACCTTACTTTATTTTTTTTTCATTTTCCCTACACGTACAACTTACAAATATATGAAAATAAGGTTTTCTAATAACTATCAGTGGCGGTTTGCCCGTAAGGGCACTTGCCCTAGTATAATAAACAAAAAAAAAATAATTACATATTTTATATTTTCCTCAATGCCTATTATTATTTTATCTAATATTCAGCGCAAGTTGGCACGACACTGGACGACCGGGCGTTGAGCGACATTCCGAGAATTCCGAAAGAAGATGGGCACCCTAAATATGTGCCTCTGTTGTTTTCTCTCTCATTATGATGCGAAAAACAAGGACAATATCGCTTAGCAAGAGATGAACACATGCGATGGAGTATACGTCACGTGCAGGGCGCTGTCCTCAGCGTAACGTGCTTTACCCATAGCACAGATTACCTAGACCAGATATGAATGTACACAGAGGCATCTTTACCGGCCCCCTCACAAAGGCGAAGCCGTTTTTGGCTTAATGTGCGCGTTTGTTGGACCATGATAATAATTTATTTATTGTGATTACGAAAAAACGTTAGTTGGACCATTGGAATAGTTAAGAAATAAAACTACAAAGAAAAATAACTTTTTTTTTATAAAGTAGTCAAAAACATGATGAAAAAAAAATCAATAATATTTATAAATGGGACAAAATTTTTATTTTTCTTTTGGTTTTGTCCGACTTTTTCGAGGATTTCAAATCTCTGTTTGCATATTTAGGAGTATAAAAAATTCTGAGTCTTATAAATAATTTAATGGTGTACATTTTCGCAAATTGTTGGCAAGGTATTCGTTGGAAATTCCAGATTTAGTTGACAAACTATCAAATAGATATAAATATTTTTTCTAATTTGAAAATATAGAAGAGAAATTTTTCGCTGTGAGTTTTTAAATTGCCAAACACCTTTTCTTCAGAGTCGTATGCTTTAAAATGCGTTAACAAGTTAGAATTGTTAAGTAAATTGCATTCTTCTGAGAAATTTACGCAATTTTCGCAAGAGTGGATATGTAATGATTTTTTGATTACAATATAGCCACATACATAGCTAAATATGAATTTTGAGTGGTCACATTTAGCTCCCTGAAGTCACATTCAGAAATCGTTATTGCCCCCCAACTGATTGTTTTGAAATATATTTAATTTTCATTAAGCGGAGAACTTGTTTTCCTAAGGGAAAAACGAATCCCGGGATTCATTTCCAGTGTGTGCCCCACTGCCGCTAGTGCCCACGAGCCGCCACTGATAACTATAATACATAATCCAGAAATTTATTATATTATAAATATTTTCTAATAATTAGTTTCATCTATATTACTTTTGTGTAGCGGTCAACTGCTTTAACGATTTTCCTAATGTTTTATAAGGATAATAAAATTAAATTTCGCTGCATTCTGCTTATTTTTTTTATTTTAAATATATTTATTGAGATATACATATATGCCAAAGACAATTGTTAAAATCCAACAACCAATAGCAACACTCTTTCAGTATGTATTATTATAATCTATTTAAATTACTTTGCCTACTAATTATTGTTTACACTTTCGAATAAGATAACATTATCATGAAATTTTCAAATGCTTTTTTCTTGAGATGCAACAGAAGTAACTTTATTATAAAGAAAACATTAGTTTTTAAAATTTTATAGTCAAAAATGTTAAAAACTGTCGACAAAAAAATCTTAGGACAATTTTACCCTAAGCCCCTCCTAATTTAACTACCTGTGAAGATGATTAAAAACTGTGGTTTAGTCCATTAAATAGAGTGTAAAAAGGTAAGCATCCTTCCTCCATAAACGTCTCATTTGCAGGTGTTCTAAACTAAATACTTTAAGATGAAACTTCCTGATGGTATCTCACCAATCAATTCACAAAATTCTAACCGGGAGGTACGATTGAACCACCTTGCGTAAAGTGATAAGTTTTGAATTGGTGACCAACCTTTATATATTTTCAATGTTTTCTAATGCAGATAGGTCTTTCTAACTTTGTATTATAATAAAATAGAAGCTTACCAAATTTGTAAAATCTCGAAATCGGAATTTTTGTAAATACCTAGGGCTTCTTGTTTTAGCAGGACATAAGTGAGTTTCCTCACCTGCAGGAAACACACAGAAAAGCCATGAAAAACAATAATAATAATAATAGCCATTTACCCTCACAAAAGTTCTGCTTCTAGGGCTCCAGAGAACATTATTATTCCAAATCACACATTTACCCACTGTTTATGTTCGAAAAAAAAAAAAAACTATTTTCAACAAAAATATATTTCTAAAATAATAACAGCAAAAACATTACTTGAAATATAGATTTTTGATACCTATGTGATCAGGGACTCGAAACAAAAATAAAATATTTCCGGTTTGGGTTCCAGTAAAACTAAAAAAATTGGATCAGGTTCAGTTTCGGTTAAAAAAGTTTTTTTTTTTTTTTTCAGTACAAATTTTCCGTACCATTTGTTACATTTAACGACGAAAAACTACTAGACTAATCCATTCTTCATAATTAAGCTCCTATTTACTTGGAAGTATTCAGCTTGTCTTTTATGTTAGGCAGAGAGTTGTCGCATCAGCTGCCGTATTAGAAAGAGGGACGCGCCTACCAAATTGAGTCTGGATCGTTTGCGCAAGCACTCATTTTATGAATGAACCAGCTCGTACAACTACGATTCCTGCTTTACATCGTTATTGCCATACTGTAAAATAAATGGGGTACTTTCCTGTAAATTACCTTCAGCTACAATAGTTACAACCAGAAAAAGACATTAAATACATAACTGGCAAAATATACTTCTGTAATTTTGAAAGCGTTTTAGAACCTTATGTTAAGTAAAGTCTGAATTATAACCGTAAACAATCCTTGCAACAACTATTCCATAATAATTTGGCAACTATGTGGATAACACCATGAGTGCTTGGAGTTCGGTTTTTGTATACAAAATGGTCTAGTAGTTGTTCGTCGTTGGTTACATTATAAAGTCGGCTCAGCAATAAACACGCCAAATATAAAAATTTGGTTTTAAATAGATTATTTTTACTGATTCAAAAAGAAAATAGTGATCTACAAAAAATGTTCCTAAAGTAAGCCATGACTGACAAAGACAGAGATACGAGTCATGTCAGTGATAACTACGTGCGGCTCTGAATTAAATCCAAAAAGAAGAGTTGTACATAAGTGAATTTTTTTAAAGGCCTATTTTAAAAACATTTTTTGTGGTTCACTCTTTATAATAAAAGATCCCATGAGATTTTCAATCGGAAAAAATATTTTTCAAATATAAAAACTTACAATGGCTATATCTCGTAAACTAAATATTATATCAGAAGATGCTTAAACGGTGGTCTAGGGCACGGATACTTAAAGTAAAAATATTTTTCAACTTTATACAATAGCTTTATAAAGAGCGATTCAATAATATACATAATTATTAAAAACCTATTTAAAAAGAAGATATCGTATTACCTGAATTAAATATTTTTAAATGTTTCTAGTACAGGAGTGTTTTTGTATTTGGTTTTTACTTTTCTGATATTATCTTTAGTTCATGACATATAGCCATTGTAAAGTTTTATTTACATGAATTTTCAAAATGTTCATAAAAATATCCATAATTATGTAAGTGTACTTCAAAACAAAAAAAACGTTTCAAAATTTAATTTAAGATAAAACAATGGTTGTTTCAGCTTAGGTCTACTAAAAAAATATCTGTTCCAGTTCGGTTTTCTATTTTTAACGGTACAGTCCGGATCACTGACCTACGCATTTCTATAAATATCATTTCACAGCCTTAATTCGAATCTGGATTCAGTCCATATCGGATTTTTAATATCAATGGGTTCTTGCATTGTATGTTCAACAAAAGTCAAATTCCAATCGTAATCTATTAAAATCAATGTGTGGGTTCTGAAAAATAAAAGTTTGATTAACATACATTTTTGTTCATTTGAGGATCAAAGATCTTCAGGAATAAAACAAATGGATACTTGTTATTTGGTTTGCATCAGAAAAGCATATGAGAAATAGATTAATAAAGATTTCTAATTCAATATGGTGGTTGAAACCGAATTAGTATAAGTTAGAAGATTAATTTTTAAATTTTATGAATTGAGGAAATGTATGACTAGGAGTTTAGTAATTTTTATTTACAATTCGTTGGTTGAATCTATTTTGCGATATGGTATAATGTGGACTATATGATATTGCAACCCCTTAATGTAATCCAAAATCATATAATTAAAATTATCTACAAAAAACCAGCATTATATCCTACCCCTTTTATATAATAAAAAAGTGCTTTGTATAATTATTTGCAATAAATATCAAAAGAAGCATACAAACAGTTTTAAATAATTTGACATTTAACAGCCATTCACACATCACAGTTGACATGTTGATACTTGACAGGCACAGCCAAGCATTATTCTGATTTTTGCCAAATAAAATAACCGGTTTTGTCTGATGCCATCCATCCATTAATAAAAAAAAATAAAAATAGTCGGTTAATTATTATGAAGGTGTTTTTGTGGCTAGGGGCTAAAAAGTAGTAAGCTTAAGTTAGCACCACCATAAAAAAGTCATTTTTAAGAAACTGCTTATATATTTTTAATAAATTGACAGGCTTGGCGACTAATTTCGAATAAAAATAGCCTCCAAAATGGCTATGGTTGCAAGTATGAAGGTCGCAACCCGCCTTAGAAATCTCACCTTTACAATTAACAGCTGTTGACAGGTCGTTGGAGAATGTTTGCATCAATGTATGGAATGTTAAGAATGTTAGACGTTAGGAATGATTGCAATTTGTAAAATTAGTCACATAAGAATGCATAAAGTAGTTAGGATGAACCGAAAATTCTGAAAATCAATAGGGTTCTAAGTTAGAAGTAATTATTCAAGAAAATCCGCAAGTCAATCAGAACTTTCGTTCTAGAGTTATCGTGCCGGCATGCATACATACATTTTCGGACTCAGAATGATCGGAAACATGAAAAAAAGTTTTAAAAAATGGGAGTAAGGAATTTTTTTCGTCTGCACGAATGCAATACTGAGGCCCCATAGGAAGGGACTCAGTAATTAATAAGGTAATTAAATGATCGTTTTATAATGGGTGCTATGATTGAACGTTTACGTTATCCGTAACGTACATGTTAGGCCGAGTTTTAACAGTAATGAGGCAAGTTCGTACGATGGAAAACTTTTTCCAACACATTACTGTTCTTTTCCGCCTGTTATGTTCTAATTTAACAGGTTTCCATCATACGAACTTGCCTCGTTACTTTTAAAATTCGGCCTAACATGTACGTTACGGATAACGTAAACGTTCAATCATAGCACCCAATGGGTTGACTTTCTACACAATCAACGCACGATTAATGCAAAATATTATTGCGAGTTACTGGATGCCGCAAAATTGTCATTAAGAAGAAATAGGAAAAAGCAGTCGGTCAGAAATGTCATTCTTCTTCATGACAACGCCAGACCACATGTGGCTAATGTCACGAGGAAAAAATTGGAAACATTGGGATGGGAAATACTGGAACATCCTCCCTATAGCCCTATACCCACCTAAAACAAAATAATTATTTTAATTTACCTTGTTCCATACCCTGGTGGATCTAGTTTAATAAACATGGAACTCAAATATTCATAAACCATTGGTGCTCTTCTTTTTAATTCTTCATCAGGCAAATATCTAGAAATGTTTATGTATAAAACTAATTTTAGGCTTAACTTTGTTACAAAATTTATAGTAAATGAAAGTGGAGTATACAATAAATTACTTGCCGAGTTTCATCTTTTAGCAGTGATAAAAGACCTTTTTCTAACTCCTCTTTATTGAGATGTCTTCTTAAAATTTCTTCAAATGTATCCCTTCCTGCTCTTACTTTGTGAAGTGGGTTGAAAATAGGACTATTGCCAAATCCCATACTATGTTGGCCCATATAACTCGAAGTTATTTTTGGTAAGTTACTGTGTTGGTAAGTGGTAGCACTATCTTTACTAAAATTGAAAATATGTTAATTAAAATGTGCTAATTGAAAAGAACTTCTTCTTCTTACCTTAATTCAACAGATACAAAGTTATATCCATTAAAATTGGTTTTATCAAGGACCTCACAATATTGTACAAAATCTAATTTGTCGTTTAAATAATTTGTAATAATTTTACCCCTGCCTGCAGGTTTTTCTACGATTTCTCCGGTTATGTTAAGAAGCACGCCAACGCAGTGCTTTTTTCCTTTGCCGTTTTCTTGATCTTTTGATTTAAAGGCTAACCAAGTCCCACCCTCTCTTCCCGGTTCCATATCCTTACCTGAAATGTACTATTATTTAGTTTTTAATAAATGTAGGCATTTGACTAATTATTTAGGATAATAATAGGTCTTTATTTAACAAATGTATCTACAACATTGGCATAAAAACGTCATGATTAACCCTTAACCTTTTCAGTTTAAAGAGAGAGAAAATATAGTAGATTATAAAAAAAGCTAAAAACTAAGAGAAAAGAAAACAAGATTTAAAATTGTTAAGCTAGTAATGTTTTTGCGGAATGTGTGAGTTGATAATAATAAATCTGGTTTAAATAAATTAAATAGTTTAAGGGCGGGTTGTACAAAGAACGGGAGTTTAATTTTTTAACTGGTTATGATCCATTTGCATTGCTGGTCGTTAAGAAATATGCCAAGCTTAAAATGACATTTTTCCATTGACAATGTCATTTTAAGCTTGGTTTATTCCTTAACTACTAACAGTGTGAATGGCCCTAAATTCAACATACAAATGTCACATTTAAAACTGTTTAACAGTAACCACTTATTATACAACAAGGTTCACAGTTTAAACTAAGATTACATTTAAACTGACTATTGTACAACTCGCCAAAAAGGATTGACGAGTGATGTGGCATGGTGAGAGTGTGTATGTGTCTGATATGAATGAATATTATTTCTGAACATTAGTTTTTCAATTAAATATTATTCAAAGTAAAAAGACTAGAAGACTTTGTTGAAATAGGTAAGTAGCTTTAAACATTTTAGTTTCTGAATATGTTGAGAGATATGATCGTATTTTCTTCAGTTAAAGATAAATCTGCAACAATTATTTTGAATGCGTTATTTTGAGTAACTCTATCCAGACAAGGGTAATATACGATATTACAATAGTTCAACAAAAATAACACTAACGATTCGGTAAGTTTTTTCTCATTTTGAAATTTAGAATGTTTACTTGCATAGAGCATTCTCATTTTTGTAGTGGAATGTTAATATGATTCTTGAACCTTAGATCAGTGTCAATTACAAGTCCCAGATTTTTAACATTATGAGAAATATTAAGTTGTGTGTTGTCTAATTTAAGTCTAATATTAGATTAGATTTAAAAGGAGTTGGACATTATTTGTCCTTGTCCACCAAGACCTTTTCAGATCTATTGTGGGACTCTGTTTTTTAGAGTATGTCGTTTAGCTTGCTCTTTTTTATTAAAATTAGTAGCTTTGACGATGGCTCCCGCATGTAGTTTTATGCATTTGGCTATTCTTCACCTAATTTAGAAACCTCAATCTAGTCAGGCATTCACACTGGCACAGGACTTGGGTTAATGTTTCCTCTTCTTCTTCACAAAATCTGCGCAAAGTTGCTTCTTCTGCTGGATTGATGACACTCATGTGCCTTCTTAGGCGACAGTTTTCAGTAAGAATACCTACTGATATTCTAACGATTTGATGTTTTTGATCCAGTAGGATGGTTCCTTAATGAACTGTTTGGCCTGTCTCAGTCTTGGATAGTTGTTCCACCATTTCAGACTCTTTTTGCATCCATTTGTCGCGTTTGAGAATCCACATCGGATGCATCTGAGATGTAGTAAATATTTGATCACGTGATTCAGTATACAAATGCCGCGTTTTATAATCTACATCGGATGCATCTGAGATGTAGTAAATCTTTGATCACGTGATTCAGTATACGTAAATGTAATGGGACAGATGTGTCCGATGTGGATAAAAAAACGCTCGAGATGTAAAAAATCCATCCGATGTGGATTCTCAAACGCGGCAATAAATGTAATGGGACAGATGTGTCCGATGTGGATCAAAAACGCTCAAGATGTAAAAAATGCATCCAATGTGGATTCTCAAACGCGGCAATAGTTTGATGGATGCCTTGCAACTCCACAGAAGCGTTCGGGGCCTGTCATGGCCTTATCTGAGCTAATTCATCGGCCTTTGAGCCGAAAATAATGATCAAGGCGAAGCGACAGCTTGATGTTTTCAGTGTACCGTTTTGTTACGCACATGTGTGAAAATAATTGTGGATTTTTATTTGTTACACTAGTGTCACACTCGACACTGCATTCGAACTGTCATACTTGTCAAAAGTATATGCTACACTTCTGCTACTGTCAAATATTTGAAGCTACACTGAACAAATCAAATGCGATTAATGCAGAAAACTTACACCTATAGTGCAACAAATAAAATCCACTCAAAAAATTATATAAGTTGTGTATCACTCAAAATCATGTATCTGTCAAAGTCAGTCCAAGTTGTGTTTAGTACGCGTGAGTAATGTTGAGTGATATTTTTTTTGTTTTGTGTTGTAATAAAATGAAGATTTTTTACACACTTAGGTATTCTAATACAGATACAAAATGGGCCAAAAAAGTAATTAAGAAACTAAGAATTTTATCACATGTATAAATCTATAATATAAAAATGAATCGCAAAATGTGTTGGTAAGCGCATAACGCGTGAACGGCTGGATTTCGCTAATTCTTTTTTTGTTGTGTTTGTTATTGTCAGGAGAAGGTTCTTATGAAAGAAAAAATTAAGAAAATTGCGCGGAAAATTTCTATATATATAAAAATGAATCCCTATTTCCCTTGGTCACGGCATCACGCGCGAACGGCTGGATCGATTTCGTTAATTCTTTTTTTGTTGCGTTTGTTATTATCAGGAGAAGGTTCATATGAAAGAAAAAATTAGGAAAATTGGGCGGAAAATTTCTATATATATAAAAATTAATTCCTATTTCCCTTGGTCACGGCATCACGCGTGAACGGCTGGACCGATTTCGCTAATTCTTTTTTTGTTGTGTTTGTTATTGTCAGGAGAGGGTTCTTATGAAAGAAAAAATTAAGAAAATTGCGCGGAAAATTTCTATGTATATAAAAATGAATCCCTATTTCCCTTGGTCACGGCATCACGCGCGAACGGCTGGACCGATTTCTCTAATTCTTTTTTTGTTGTGTTTGCATTAGAATAATAAACACTTTGTTTCTAAAATATTTTTTTAGTTAATTATACCAATTCGAAATCAATATTCATAGTTAAGACAGGAGAACGTGTCGGGTCCGCTAGTATTAAATATAATAATTTAATCATTTTTGATATTTTATTTTTCAAGTATTGGATATTGTGAAATATATGTTTTTCTTTTAAATAAATTTAATAAACAATGAACTGCAGATTTTGTCTATTTTATTTTGACATTATAAATAAAAAAAGTATATATAAATAAGTACTATTTATAAAAATTCGTCTATGCCCAGACAGCACACATGGTCTAATAGACGTCCACTTTAGATCCATTTGAGGGTCAGAACGTCCATATCTGGGCATCCATGTACGTCCGTTTATGATCATTAAATTGACAGCTGAATATCGATATTCAGAGGTCTGTTTTGGACATAATTTTAAGTTTAGTAGTATTTTGACGTCCAGTGGACGTCCATCTTATGTCATTATTTATTTAGCCTACCAAATAATACCTATCTATATAAACTTCCTTTTTTTTAGTATAATTGGTCATTAAAAATTGACAGATTGAATCTGTTGCACTTTATGCTATCAACGGATATTTGAAATATTATTCTATTATAATTATAACCATATCTAGTAAAGAGTAATCAAGTGGCTCCTTGGTAGAGATCGTCTAGCGGTTGAAAGTGTAGAACGATAATGGACGTGTCGTGAGTTCGACCCTTGCTCAGGTCGAGCGATCTTTAATTAAAAATAAATAAATAGTGTATAGTGGGTTGCAAAAATAATAAATAAATAAATTATTAATAATATAAAAGAGTGTGTGGTTAGTTGCGGTGGTGTAAAAAAAAGTAGGGATGTGGTCTCGATGGAAATATAATCCTGGACGTCCTCTGAATGGTCAAAAGTGTGCCATTTTTATACTTCACTGGACGCCCATTGGATGTCGGTTGTCCAGAAAAAACTAATTTTTGGACGTCCAAACATCCAATATTATATATAGAATGGACGTCCAATAGACCTATTTGTGTTGTCTGGGTGATAGCCAGGCCAGGTATTAAACTCAAATGACATCCAGCTTATCTTTACGAGAAAATACTTTTTCCCACAGAAATGTGTAATAAAATTGAAAGTCCTTTTAATATAATATAAATCCAAAAATTCTAAAAATATGTTAGTACTTTTTAAACCTAAAAGCTTTGAAAATATTTGCAATTTGCAAATATTTAGTTAATGTTTTTTTAATCGTTACTTAATTTTTTTTGGTACTCCTAATTTTATTTACCTTATTTTTAAATAAGAAAAAGGTAATTTAATTTACCTAAATATGGGACTTTTATTACTTTTTAACTTCATAAATCCAATAAGGAACAAATCTAATAGATAAATAAATTATAAAATAATAAACGTCTTTTACTTTAATATCAAATAATTAATTAATATGCAAGGAATTATATTTTGGTGCCGAAATCTCACTAATGCTATTTTTGTGTGTGTGTGTCTTCGGCTTCAACTGCTATGGTTAGTTCACCTCGTGTTCTGTGTAGGCTTTGTTACTGTTTCCAAGCGCCACTTTAGGAACGGCACTGTTAATTAGAACCCAACAGTGAATGGTCGAGTGGGGAATCCTACCAAGGCATCAGAATTAATTTTAAGTAATTAAATTAAATGAAAAAATCCCGGCCAATGGTGCGATTCGAACCTGGGACCCTTGGATCCGCAAGCAGAGACTACCACTGAGCCACCCCCCCCCCCACTAATGTTATTATTTACCCCCAACTACCTCAATGTAAATAAATCACATTATAACATTTGCGCATAGACTATAACAGTGATTTCAGATAATTTGCCAAGCTATTTCACTCAGTGTAGAATATAAGCAGGTTTTCTCAGAGAATTAAGTTGTGTATTGATAATTGTTTTCATGCTGTGAGAAAGGAATAGTCAATATGAAAGGCACCAACAGTTTGTGTCTCTTCTCCTTGATTGGTATTATTAACTTTAAGTCTAATATCATTCGAACATTCTTATTGCAAAACAAAAGTACCATGGTTTTAGAAGAGTTGATAGACAAGTTATACTCTCAGAAAATTCTAAAATTTTTACTAAATCAGAAGCTACATGGTATTTATTTGCTCAAACTAATGTATCATCCACATATCTCTGTTCTGTTATCACTATACTACTTTAAGAAAGTCTGACATGTATAATAGGAATAATAAAGGACCTAAAATGGATCCCTGTGGAACCAGAGAGAATGCCCCTAGATTCAAAGAACATATCAATACATAGTTATGCTTCGAATATCTTTCCAAAGATATGTTTTAATGAATGAAAGGATGGGTATGAGAATACATTAATTACCTATCTACTTAAAATCAATAAAATTATATTATTTAACACCTACCTCCAAGAATATTGGTTTCATTATCAATATAAGCCTTCATGGCAGGTCTTTTATAATATTCATCCCGATTTGTAGCCAAAACTAATCTGTAAGCTCCCTTTTCAGGGTTAGGATCAACGTGAACGAAAAGTATACACATTTTTTGGTAGTTAGAAGTGAGATTGTGATTTGCTTCAGCGTAATTTATAACCTAATTGTAATCTCCTGGAAAACAGATAAAGAAAACTTGAAAAAGTTGATAGATAATGCCGTCCCATTGTTATGTTGATGACGCACAAGAGACTTTTAAATTACAAAACCAAAACAAACAACTAATATCCAGCTAGACTAGACTAGAGGAAATATTTATTATTTTTATTTACCAACCTATTTATATTTTTACAAAATGACAAACAAGGTCAAGAGTTAACCTCTAAAAAACCAGTACATTTTTGGTCAAGTATGAATTTGCCATTTACCTGTGTATCAAAACATGAACAGATTTAAATCAACAAGTTGTAATATTTACTGAAAGATTACTGTTTTGTTGAACCATGAAGATATGACTGCTAGACAAAATGAGAATAACGAATCTTTTAACAATGGTAAGAAAAATAAGAAAATATTCATAAATACATATTTTAAACGAGTAAAAAGTACATATATATACCTACTTATGCTTCTTGCTTATCTCTTCTAATTTATATTTAATATTTATTTCTATTGTCAAGTGATCTTTTAACAATTTTATCTTGTTTACATATTTAAGTAGGCATGACAGGAATATTTTTAATTCTTTTAGTATATGTACAAATAATTTATAGGAAGTACGATTTCCTTTAGCCAAATAAAATTAAACAGGAATAATTATAAATTTTTGTTCATTTTTAACATTTTGTTTATTATAATGTACTTATTTTTATGTTTCTCATAACATGAATTTATTAGATGATTCCTCTATTAAAAATGGACATCTCTATATTTTAAATAATTGTTTGCACGTGGAGTTGAAGGATAAATAAATACCTATTTACAAATAATTTACATATTGTAATGCATACGGAAATAGAATTGAATGATTTAATTTAGTCCGATTTTTCTTGCTTTTCTGAAAGACAATTTAAATAATGTTAATTCAAAATAGTGGTATGTATTTTTTCAATAATTTTTCATAATTTCTTAGATATGAAAAATTAAACAATATTGTATAGGGCTGGAATGAAGGTATTTTCAATACTTTTTTAATAATGTTAAATTTTGCAAACTGAATATTTGAACTGAAAAATATTAAATCTACGAATCGCTCTGTATTTTATTTTTGCCAAGGTTTTGCCACAGTCACATATCGATTTTCAAAATTCAAAGCTAGGGATCGGAATATGACAAAACAGGAGTGCGTTTAGAAACCCCGCACGGCGCGTCTGGGCCCTATTCTAATGCATGTGGTCAGACGCGCCGTGCGGGGTATCTAAACGCACTCCTGCATAAGGACAAAATAGCGTAATGTCAAAATAGCGCAATGTCAAAATAGCGCAATGTCAAAATATCCCAATGTCAAAATAGCGCAATGTCAACATAGCGCGTAAGGAACAAGATATTTTTTTAATTAATGTAATTCATTGAACCTAATGTGTAACAAATATGTTTCCGATAAAGCTATTTGCCGCGTTTGAGAATCCACATCGGATGCATCCATAGATAAATTAATATTTTTTGAAATATGGTCCTGATTGCTACCCCTTCCGAGGGTGCTAAAGTGATTCTGCTTTTGGCCCGTAACTGCTTGCATTAAAAGGTATACTTGGTATTAATCCCAACTTGATATATCATTTTTAACTGCATCAAATATTGCTTTTTTGAAATAGGGGTGTGAATATTACCCCTTCCGAGGCTGATAAGTGATTCTGCTTTTGGCCCGTAACTGCTTGCATTATAAGGTATACTTGGTATTAATCCCAACTTGATATCTCATTTTTAACTGCATCAAATATTGATTTTTTTGAAATATGGGTGTGATTATTACCCCTTCCGAGGGTGCTAAGTGATTTTGCTTTTGGCCCGTAACTGCTTGCATTGAAAGGTATACTTGGTATTAATCCCAATTTGATGTCACATTTTTAACTGCATCAAATATTGATTTTTGAAATAGAGGTCTAAATGCTACCCCTTCCGAGGGTGCTAAGTGATTCTGCTTCTGGACAGTAACTGCTTGCATTAAAAGGTATATTTGGTATTAATCCCAACTTGACATATCATTTTTAACTAGGACAAATATATTTTTTTTTCGAATTTGGGGTGCGTCTGCTACCCCTTACGAGGGTGCTAAGTGTTTCTGCTTCTAGCCAGTAACTATTTGTATTAAAACCTATACTTGGTATCAATTCTACTTTGATAACTTATTTTTAATAATATGAATATTACGAATTTTCATTATGAATGTATTATTTTTTATGTATTTATTATTTTTTTTATATATTTATATAAGGAAAATATCATTTAAAGTACAAACGACCTCAGTTTTCAATTAACACATAAAACTGAAATAAACTTACGTATTGCCCTTTTTAATGGGCCACTGCATTGTTCGTGCGTACTCGGTAAACGGACTATCAGTTTTTGGCTACTAATAGGCTTGTTTTGGTTCTTTCGGAAACTAGTTCAGAATCACTGAATTACACTCCATCAGCTAAGAGTTTATTAAAACTTTGCGTCGTGTTCTTGAAAAATTAAAATTCGTCCACTGTATTTGAGTACTGGGTTCGACGGTCCTGTTTGAACCAAAACAAACCCAATAAATTCACACCGGTTCCGGAAGCGTACTAATACTTTTTATATCGCATCCTTATTTGGTGAGTGTGGAGATTTTTCCCTCTCTAAAAATTTTAAAAATTACATAGGTATCTATTTTCGAAATTTTGAGCAAAGGGTATGTTTATATATTATACCATTTTGTGGAGTTCAACGAGAAAAGTTCAATGCCGCAAATCGCATATTCATATAGCTCAAACGGTTGCCTAAATATTTAATTTCAAAGTTATTGAATTCCATATAGTAAAAATTAACCCAAATTCCATTCTGTTCTTCTAATAATCCATCGTGATTTCACTGTGCAGAAACGTTATAGGTACAGGGGCCCACTAATTAGCCTGCTTGCGCATAATGCATATCGCGTCGGAATTCGGTAAACTGGGAGACGTTTTTTGAAAGCTATCGGGATATTTATTCGAGTATATTTCATTTTGTAGATTTCTTTGAGAATAATTCAACGTCTGATCAGGGACGACCTTGCTATCCCTACAGTCTTGGCGAAAAGACCTGTACCCCCTTCCCCCACCACTGAAGCTAGCCTTTTCGTGCAGCACCAATCTGTACCCTCCGTCCTGTGCCTCTATAAAGACCTTCGAGCATATGCTCGAAGATAAAGACACAGCACTGTAAACATTTTAAAACAATTGTGGTAAAATGATAAGAAGTTTATTAACGCACACGTTTTTCTTATCTCACTGCTTTTCAATCAATCAAATAAAAAAGTCAAAATGTCAAAATCTATTTACTGTCACAATCTAAAGTAACAACTATATTTAAAGCTTGTTCTTCAATATCAGATGGCAAACTTTCCGAATAAGGGGTCTATTCTGTAACAATTCCTTTATATTTAACGGCCTTTAAAAATATTTTCTTCTTTACTTCTGTCATTATTTAAATGGATCTTTAAAAAACATTAGAGGACTATCTTAAAGAAATCTGTTTAAATAATAACAGAAGTAAATTAACGAATACGAAAATGTTTTTAAAGGCCGCCAATATTTTTAAAGGCCGTTAAATTTAAAGGAATTGTTACAGAATAGACCCCTAAGGTGTCGACAATCGACATGTAGGCAGTGGTGGAGAAGAATAACCCTAAATTAAGTCTTAGATAAAAATTATAATTACCGTTTATTTTTACATTTAGAGGAGTAGATAAAAATTTGTACAATATACGCTTTATTAACGTACTTCTGCGAATTTTGGAATTTCGGTATTTCAAAGATAATCGAATTATCGATTTTATAGGAAATACAATAAAAATAGATTATTTAATAATAATCGATTGATCGAAAATAATCGATTATTTAAAATATTCGATAATTCGTTTCTTTTAAATCGATTTATCAGTTAATCGACTTTTTAATGAATCGATTATTTTCGATTTTTCAATGCTTATCGAATAATCTGTTTCAATACGAAAAAAAATAGATTATTTGAAAATAATCGATTATTTAAAATAAACGATAATTATTTTATTATTTTTTTGTAAACACTGATTTATCTGTTAATTGGATTTTTAATTAATCGATTATTTTTGATTTTTCAAATTTAATCAAATAGTCGATTTTAAAGGAAATACGACAAAAAATAGATTATTTGAAAATAATCGATTGATCTAAAATAATCGATTATTTTCAATGATCGATAATTTATTTCAATAATCACCCACCCCTAGCGACCAAATGACTTTTAATTGGTTTAAATTTTAAAATATTATCTGGTTTCAGACATGCATTTCTAGAGTTTTATGTGACTCATCCTCTATATTAATTAATATTCCTGAAGAAAGAAGTTTATCAACTCACGAGGTTTGATTTGCAGTATTCGCTTTTTTTATAATACTCCTAGACAATGAGTACCATTTCTTGCTCTATTAACAATATTCTATTTCAACACTTTACTGTAGTCTCTTGCAGAAAAGTCCGTAGTTAATAAACGCTAACGAAATATTCTATGAATGGTCTTCTCTTTACATAAAATGTCTTGGCATCTGTTTGATAAAATCACGTTAATTTTATTTCATAATACAAAATTTCATTAAACATCTTTTAAATAAATCTAATAGTTCATTATGATGCTAATAAACAAAGTCCATCCCTGTCACAGAGTTCTAGTCTCCGCCCAGTTCCCCACTCCGTTAACCTGCTTTCTATTGAAATTGGCAACATTTGCGCAGGTTAAACACCGGTGTATGTTATATCTCTGGTCTTTTTTTTTATCTAAGGTTTAAAATAATCGCCACGCCAATTTGCAAAATTTCAATCCAAGGTAACTTGATTATTTTAAATGGGACTACCAAATTTTTTTAATTTCATTACATGCAGAATTCGATTACCTTTCTAATGATATAAAAATATGTTGATATTTATCTTTTACAGATTTCTTTTTATTTAAAAAAATCTAATAATTCACAGTATTTTTTAATTTTTCTAATCTCTTTAAAATTTAAAATTACAAATAGCAATTTCAATTAAAAAACATTTAATAAGTTAAAAAAAAAAACAAAAAAAAACAAAAAAAAACAAAAAAAAACAGTAAACCAAAAATAAATAACACCACAATCAAAATAAAAAAAGCAATTATTTTAATAAACGTTCACCCTGTTCTAAACAAACTTGGATTCTTCGACGAAAAGAAATTTTAACCCTATCCAATATTTCTGGGTTAATTTCTTCAAAAGCGTTTCAAATCCTGTTTTTCATGTTTTCAGATGTGGTTGGTTGTTCCGCATATTCTTTTTCTTTGATATAACCCCATAAAAAAGTCCATTGGAGTAATATCTGGAGATCTAGCTGGC